CACTGGCTAGATTCTTTGCTTTTCCTTTTTTTGCTAGCCGTGGGCTTGAACTCAGGGCCTTGGCGCTGTCCCTGAGCTCATTCACACAAGGCTAGCACTCTACCACTTTGAGCCACAGTGACACTTCTAGTTTTCGGGTGATTAAGTGAAGATAACAGACTCACTGATTTTCCTGCCAGGGCTGGCTTTGAACTGAGTTCCTCAGATCTTTCTCGTGAATAGCTAGGATTATAGGCATGAGCCACCAGTAGGTGGCTAGATTCTTTTCTTTCTTAAGTTTTTTAGGCAGATCAATGAGAACCCACTTACAACATTTATCATGCCAAATAACAAGTCAGGAATCTCACCAATCAAAATCTGTTTCTGAATTCATTATGCTAATCAGGAAGGTCTCTAGGTGATAGAGAGATAGATAACAAAAGTAATTGTAGCTGCCCCTGGAGTGTTCCCTTTCTGTAACACAGCAGCTGAATACTTCAAGTGAGAATTTTCCACTAGAGCAACTGGCTGTCCCTGGTGCTTAAGTCTACCCTGACTAGTACATACATAATTCCACCCTGTCAACACCAAAGTATTTTAAAGTAAATTACTTCATGGAACAAGTGCTTATGCCACCATGCTTGCCTATTAAATGCTCAATTAGCATTAGCCCTGGTTTTATTACTACTGTAACCATGTGGAATATATCAAGAAAAGGTACAGAACTCTATTGTATAACTTGGGTAAAACAATATTCGAAATGAAAGTAAACATATTACTACACTCAAGAACTACTCTCATAATTTGGCTCTTTCTTTTTAAATCAGAAATTTTGATTGCAGTTGAATGTAGATACAATAGAAGGAAGTCCACAAGGTAACTGTATGAGGAAGGTAGAACATGCTTTTAGATCTTGGGAGATGATCCATCAAGTGAGCACCAAAATCAATTCTGGATCCTAGGGGAGAATGCATCTGCAAATGGTTGAAACATCTGGCGGTCCTCGATGGAAAACTGAGGAGAGGTGTGGGGCCTCAGGGCCCCAATCTTCTGGGCTGACATCTGGCCTATTCTTAGGATGAATTTTGCTTGAGGGTCAGGCCAGAACGTTCTATAGAATTCTTATTATCTTTAATCTCATACTTGCTACTTAGAGCCTTGGGGGTCACCCTAAATTTTGATCACAATATCTAGATATGCTAGCAATGACTTTCGGACATCAAATTCAAAAGCAAAAATGCAAAACAAAAGTACCCAGCAACCTTTAAGGGGCATTATCTTCTCCTGGTTTGAGCAGATATGTCTCTTCACGTACGACAGACATGCCTTTACTTTTCTGCAGCGGGTAGTAATCCCTATTTTCAGTGGTATCTTTAAGAGTCTGTCAAGTGGCAGAGCCTCCATACTGCCATTCCTTCCAGAACTATAAGTAGAAGCGAACTGCAGGACAAGAATATATTTGTGGCTATACTCCAATGACTTTATTTTCTGTCTTTACTCTGGATTTCTATTTCCACCAGAACAGCCTGTTGTCAAGAGCACTGGGGCTCTTCAGGAGTGCCACATGAGATGAAAGCTAACTCACCAAGACCCACTTTAAACAAAGATATATCTTTTTGGTTATAATGAAGAAAATGAAAGGTCTGAGTCCCAGTTTATAATTGGATCACATAAAATATGTTTATGGGAACAACTATAGATGTTAAGTATTCTGAAACTACAATGTAAGTAGCAATGTATCGTGAAGGAATTTAAATGATCTAAATCCATGCCAAGATCTCACATTTACAGCGTTTGGAAACAATGCAGTGCTTTCTGGTATTTGAAGTACTTCCCTTTCCTATAATCATTTGCACCTCTGGAAGACAAATGGCCTGGTGTCCAGTCTCTGTTATACGATCTAGGATAAATTAACATTTTTCTGTTTTCATTTCTTCATATAAAATTAAGATCCTATTGATTTGGTAATCACTGAAGGTTGTTTAGGCAACACAGATTATGTGCTTTACAGAGTGTGGTGCAGAATTACAGGGTAGTTCTGTTAAAATCATGTGTATGTGTCAAGTGGAAATCACAAATAAGTGTTGGGGGGAAAAAGGATACCAGCAACGTAAAATGTTATGTTTAGTTCAGTTAAAAGTTGATAAACTCCAAGTAAATTTTTATTATTTTTACACTTAATAACTTAATTATAAAATAGAACATAAATAATAGGGTGTTTTCAGTCTGAGGTACAGGTCATCTTTTCTTGAAAAGCTTCTGATTACACTAGGAAAAGTTTGGAGGGCGTGAGCGGTCTCCACCCTTTGAGGAAGCACCGGCCTCTGCCGGGTCCTCCTTTGTGACCCTGCCAGGGGGGGTTACATAACCATTCCATTTAGAACTCCGTTCCTTCCCACTTGGTTTGGGAAGTGTCCTCTTACAGAAAGGTAAAACTGGAAAAAACGGTCAAGTGCCACTCTGTTCTCAGTATGGATTGGGAAACAAGTTCCAGCATTAAGTTCCAGCTTTTGGTGGGAAAACTGGAACCTGCGTCCAGACTAGAATCAGACAGGTGTCCTCCCACTCTTTCCTAAACACTGTGTCTATCCAAAAGCTGTCCTCCAGCAGCTTGCTTTTGGTCATAATAGACCCATAACGAAGCATCAACAACTCGAGGAACAGTTGCCTTGATATGATTTTGTACACAGTGTCTGTAAAGGGCAAGATATATGCTGGATCATAAAACTTAAAATTTAAGTAGCATGTATTTAATTCAGAGAGCTTTTGCAAATACGAGAAATTTGGGACCATCATTTTTAACTGCCAATAGCTACCACACTTAGATATGTACTTTCATTTTGCTACTTAAACACACTAAAAATTAATGTAAATATATGTCTGAACGAAAGACCTCGAATATTCTGAAATGTTTTTTCCTAAATGTAGTGATAACTTTTTTTGAAACAGATATTGAAAAAGCAAAGTGATCCGAATACTCAAAAGAAAAAGATAAATAAAAAGTAAAATACCAATATCTAAGACCTAATTTCTTTCTTGCTGAGTTGTGCACTGAGCCATTCTCAACTAGAGTACAAGCTGATCTTCAATCCCTCCTATGTAAAACATCATCTCGGTAGTACATAAATATCACGTTCAAACTAGAGGATAATTTGGGAGAGTTCATGGTTCACATGGCAGCCTACGGTCAGGGATCCCCTCTTGACAAAATATGAACCTTCTTCCGCCCTGCTTTGGGAACTAAAGGAGGGCAGCAGCAAACAAGCCCTGTAGCATTGTTTCAGAGGAAGGCCAGCGGTGGGCCTGCACTTCCTTCAGGCCTCCTCTCTCTTGCTGAACGAACTCCAGGGAATGGCATCACGTCAGGCTTTCCAGACGTATTATGTGAAGCCATAGCTCACTGTCATTTTCAATAGGAAGCCTCATAATTAAAGGTCAAATAGTCACTTCATCTGCAATCAATCAATAGAAAAAGTACTAATACGGAGGACTAATCAATCAATGGCAAAGACTCTAATAAAAGCAATGAATCAAATTCAGCATGTGTGTAGACGCAAGTAACATAGAAGAGATTGAGACAGGGCGAAAAGCGAGGACAATAAAATAAACCTAAGGTATAGATCCAAAGGAATATTCAGGAAGCTTCTCAAGCAAGGGTTTCCATCCTTGCTTCATTAGTTACAGGAGCACCACTGGGCCTACAACCATTTATTCTCAAATGCAAGTACTAAAGGTGACGATAAACGGTATTTGATGTTTTACCCTGTGTATTCCATTTGAGATGTGTGTGGTGGGGGGAGGGGAAGATCACAAGATGAAACATTCTATTGGTTATTTCCAAAGAGAAAGATATATTTCTCAAGTGCCAAATAGCTGTATGATAATCCATTCTAGTTCATCTTTGTGTGAGAAGAAAGGATCACGCTGACAGATATTATCTGAAATTTCCCCTTATTTTTCAGAATATGATTTCTTCACACTAGGTTGGTGCTGTGTTGCTCTAACTCCAGCAGATAAGCATTTCCACTGGCCTTCAGGTCAGGTCACTGTGAATACACAGCTTCACTGCCTGTGCTATCAGGCCACCACAACAGGGAGACATGGGTTGGATCTTGTGAAAATGGACACAGTAAAAGTATAGTGCTTAACAAACCCACCTGGTAATCATACCCAAGTACTCTCTGGTCAATGAAGAATAAAGAATGACCAGCGAACTCTCTGAGATAAGCAGGGAGGGGAGGTTATTTTCTGAGTGCTTCCATAGAGACGACAAAACAGAATGTTCAATATAGAAATGAAATTCCCCCTGGGCACAAGCGGCTCACTACTGTAAGCCAGCTCAGGAGGCTGAGATATGAGGATTGTGGTTCGAAGTCTGCCAGGGCAAGAAAGTCCGAGACTCTAATCTCTAATTAATTACTAAAAGGCCAGAAGCGGAGCTATGGCTCATGTGGTAGAGAGCTTGCTTGATCAAAAAAGTCCAGGAATAGCACCCAGGTTCTGAGTTCAAGCCCCAGGACTGGCACATAAGAAAAAGAAAAAGAGAAGGAAGGAAGGCAGGCAGGCAGGCAGGCAGGCAGGCAGGCAGGCAGACAGGAAGGAAGGAAAGAAGGAAGGAAGGAAGGAAGGAAGGAAGGAAGGAAGGAAGGAAGGAAGGAAGGAAGGAAGGAAGGGAAGAAAGAAATCCCTTAAACTGAAAGCTAAGGAAACTGAAGCTAGTTCCTGACTCCTCATTCCCACCCCATCCCAGTTCTAGAATTAACATTCTGTACTAGCTGTCTTTTATGAGAACTGAAAAGCATGGTTATAAATTAAGCTAAATCTGAAAGCATTAGAGTTAGGCCCTCAGAGATTGAAGGAAGAATAGTGTTTCTAAGCCAGGATCCTTCCTTACTTTGGTAGTGTTGTTTGTCTAACAGAACCAACAGCATCCCCTTTCATTTAACCTGAAGAGTTCTGTGTGTTTCCCAGATTTTACTCTAGCGGGTAATATATGGCTTTGAACTTGGCAAATCACTTACCCAACGTAAGGGATTTGTGTGTAGAACAGAAGATGATAGCCACTGTATCTGCTGCTGTGAAGCCCGAGTTATTCCTAGGGGCAAAAAAAAGTTATTTGTTAATACCTGTGGGAAAAGACAACGTAACTTATTTTAAATCAACTGCAGTACCCACCTTCATGCGAACATCCCTTACATCAATTCCAGGGGCGGAAGTTATTCTAGACTGAAACGGATGATGTATGAAGTCATACATCTGACTTCATTGTTTAGAGATCACTCTGAGTCCTCATCTTTTCTTTTTCTTGGTCCTTGGGCTTCAACTCAGGGCCTGGGCACTGTTCCTGAGTCTCTTTGTACTTAAGGCTAGTGCTCTACCACTTGAGCCACAGAGCTAATTCTGGCTTTTTCTGAGTAGTTTATCGGAGATGAGAGTCTCATGGATTTTCTTGCCTAGGCTGGCTTCCAGCCACAATCCTCAGATCTCAGCCTCCAGAGTACCTAGGATTACAGGTATGAGCCACTGGTGCCTGGTGATTTTTTAAGCAGTTATTGGCGTGTGTGGGGCGGGGGGAGAACATCAAAACTTCTCAAAGATCTTCACGTGGGAGTAAAGACAATAAGCCCTAAAGGTAGGCAACATGATACCTCTATTTATCAATGGGAAAATGGAGGCACACAGAAGCTATGTGGCTTATTTAAGTCCCATTGCTGGTAAATGACAGATCTAGTGTACTAATGCTCCTAACTATTATGTCCTACTATTATTCCACACTAGATTAAGCATCAAAAATTTTTCATCAAAACCAATTATGTGTTGGGATGGGCTCCCAGCAGCCTTAGCGGGAGATAGCATCATTGCCTTGCTCTATGTAAAAAGGGAACCCGAAGCACAGCTGGTCATACAGCTCAAGTAGTTTGCCCCACACTAAGGAGCTCAGTTTGCTTTCTCAGAAAGAAAGTATAATAAGAACACCAAAAAGATAGCAGCAGTTCATGGGGGAGGGCAGCTATCTTGGCCAGTCACTGGTACCCAGCCATAATCTGTGGAGAATGGCTTCGTGGAGCCAGGTCATGACCGTACACAGAACAACAAAGCACTCTGCTCACCTTATGTAAATTGGGATGACTACAATTATTTTCCGTGATGAACATCTCTATTCACGTCCTTGAAAGGAATCACATTACTATTTATTTTGTTACTCTACCTTATCTCTTTTTAATATTGACTTTCTTTTTATCCTGTTTTTATTTTTTATAATTCTTTTGATCACTTTGGCTTCCCTTGAGATCTTTATTTCCTTTTCTTCCCAACCAGTCTTTTTTTTTTTTTTTTTAATTCTCTCTTACAAAGCTTTCAATCAGTGTTTTTCACGTAATATTTATTTTGCCTTCCTCTGTGGTAGCCACAGAGGAAAACATGTCAGGTTTTACAAGAAGAAGCATGGAATGTGGGGCAGCAAACGTCCTCAGAGAGTGCTCTGTTGAAACCCACCGTTTGGAGAGGAGGCCACATCCATGGGAGATTCTTTCCTTTGTTGCTTTCTGTACTAGTGCTTCATCAGCCCGTTTTGCAGAGGAGATCTCGTTTATCATTAGCTGCACAGCACTAACCAAGTTAACTCAGAGCGCTGAGGCTTAGCTACCTCATCTCTAAATAGAAAGGAATCCTGGCAATACTTTCACTCCTCCCCACCCTCACTCCCCTTCAGCAAGGACGGCAATGGCCGCCCAGTGTGCTACACTTGCAAGGAATTTTCCATTCACAAAGGAGTTATTGACATCTCCCTTAGGATGAGTGACTTGTGCTACAAGGACCAGCAGTGGTCAGCGAATGAACTGCAATCGTCTTTTCTAAGGTGGCGAAACAAGTCATTCACAGAAAGAAATCCCTTCAGATAGCTCCTATGTGCGGACATATACAATGAAGTCACGATTTCTCTGTGATTTAATGGTGCCAGGCTTTATTCTTACTTCATAAGTTACTACCTCAAGCTTGAGAAAATGTTTCAGTTTACATCAGTCAGTATATTTTTATTGGTCATGTACCATCTGCCTGGTGCCATAACAGGCCTGTAAGAACCAAGTACCTCATGCAAGGTCCCAAGCCAAGGTCCTGGCACTATTTCAAGCCTCTTAACAGTAGAGCCTGTCCTTCTGGGCACTCACCACCATCACTGTAGTTCAGGCCTGACAAGCTGGCCACGCTCACCTTTCCTGTAACTATAGCTTCAATTGGTTTGTTTTGTGTATTATGTGACCAGGTATGTGCATGACCATGTTCCATTCCTGCTTCCTCTGCCCCTAGAATCCCTTCATCCACATCTCTGTGTTCTAAGCAATAGCCATTTCTTTTGGACACACATCGAGCTCCATCTCTGCTGGGAAGCAGATTCTACCGCTCTCTTTGGAAGCTTCCTTCTGCTTTGCATGGGACGCAGGTGGTTTTACTGTCCTACTCAGAGGACATTTACTTAGCCTGGAAACCCATGCAGGATTAGAATCACCTCTCAGTTGTGGTGTTTGCTGTGCTAACTTTTATACCAAAAGTATGTATGTATGTAATATCTAGTGAATGAGAAACACTGCTGGAAGAATCGGCCTTTACGGTAAGGCTTTAGGAAAAACTAGGATAGAGAGACCAAGCCAGGTACAAGGATAGCCTAAGCCAACACAGAAATGAGAGAGCACACAGTTCTTCCTGGGATAGCAAAGACTACCTTGCTACATAGACTGGAGGGCCTAGCACTTAATAAAATGAACCTCATTCTTAATCATTGGAGCTTTCTAAACCCAAGAGTGGCCAACAGAAGTCTGAGACATTGGAAGCAGCATGAAACACTTAAGAAAATATCAATGGGCCTTGAAGTAGAGTTAGCAGTGAGTATGTGCTGTGATAGAGATGAATTCCATTTTGAATTTCGTGTGTCTAAGGTCTTATGGAGACAGCCAGGGAAAGATAATGAAAGGGGAAAGAAAACAATAGTCCTGGACCTTAGGAAAACACCGGAAAAGAAAGTCTAGATTTACAATTCTCAGCATGAAGTGGACAGCTCAAGGCAGGAGAACAGAGGAGGCTGTGCAAGCATGTGGGGTAGACCGAGGAGACAGGAGACAAGGACAGATGCTTTAGTGATGGCCACAGTCTAAGGGTGGCAGAAGCCGGACAGAATGGCCAAGAAGATAGAAAGAAAACTAGGACATTATAGTGAACTAGCTGCCAAGAGTTACTACAAGAAAAAGTAATTTTAAGTGACTAACAGAAAAGATGCATTACCGCTTACCTTGTTGAAAAGATGAAGGTTAATAGCATGAAACTCAGCTGGATAGAAACTACTGCAGAAAAAAAATATTGAATCTGAATTAGCACTATAAAGGTACATCTCTAGCGTATTTACTGGTATGCTTAGTTTCATTTGAAACTTATGGGAACTCAAATAGAAAAACGAGTAAATAAACCAAACAAATATTCATTGTTAAACTAATACAATCATTGAAATTCATAGGGCTTAACCTATTCTTTTTGTTTGTTCAGTGCTGATACTAAACAAACTTCCAGCATTTTGCTGGTTAATTCGAGATAAAAGTCTCTTGGATTTGTCTAACCAGGGTAGCCTTTGAACTCCGATCCTTAGATCTTAGTCTCCTAAATAACTAGGATTACAGGCACAAGCACCTGGCTTAATCTGTTCTTACTGACAATATCCCCAGGTATTATTTATGATATCCACTACTTGGGAAAAATCTATAATCTTCTTTACGATTTGGCTGTTTGGTTTGCTCAGTTAAGAGTATGTTATAGCACAAGGCACAAACATGGTACCACACAATATACACTGGGAAAATCCATCTCTATGTTGGATAACAACAAGATTATTTGATACTATAATACTAATAGAAGTTGTCTTTGGTATTTAGAATAAATATAACAAAAGGTTGGTTATTTTATAGCCTGCTGCTCCTTAAAGTGATATATTATCAGGGGTATCTTTTAGTAGAAAATATGATGTAAATATTCACATCTGAATCAATATAGCCAAATCATTATACATATAATAGTGTCATATATTGTAAATCATAGTATGTAAAGCAGAATATGGGATAAAATTGGTTTACTTAACAATAAACTGAATTGGGAACAAACTGCTTGATCTGATGCTTGAGTCTGACAGAGAGTAAGGCTCTGTTCCTAACATCGTCTCTGGTAAATCAACATGGAGCACCAGATATGGAAAACAAGGGATTAATACTAAATTCATAACTGGCGTCTTCCTAGAGAACACCACACATGCTAAAGTCACTGAATACACACAATACAAGCTGAATATTCATTTTGAATCAGTTTAACACTGGGACTGGGGCTGGGGAGCAGATTGCTTTGCTGTGCTGCTGAAGAGACCAAGGGAGGGGGAGTCAGGGGGGTGTCCCATCTCCCTACTTACTTATAAACAGGATGAGCACGAGGCTGAATTTATCCAGGTCGATATTCGGGTTAGAGAACGTGTCACAGAACGTGGTGTAGATGATCATGAGGAGCACGCTGCTGCTGATAGCACCGAACGGAGGTTTCTTCCTCTCAAGCCAATCCTTGATGTATCTTCGGACAATCTGAAACACAGAGAGCAACAGGTGGCCTCTTTTCCAAGATGTAGGGAGTTGAGTTGGGCATTGCAAAGTGCTTCTGACAGCCAAAAGACATAAAGGAAAGAGAATAAATTTGGATGATGGCCACAGTGGATTTCAAAGCTTCCCTGCCATGCCACTCTCCTCCTGGGGAATTGAACGTTTGTAGTGCAGCTTCCACTGGGTGTCCATAATGAGAGTGTATTTCCAACCACATTCAAATCCATCCTTAATCATGCCAAATGCTCTTTGCTAGCTGTCACTGAGACGGGCCCATTAAGCCTCCCCGAAGTTTATCTCCTCTGCTGATCCTAATGGATGTGTGTAATTATCACAGCCCCCTTTGCCTCAAAGACAATTCCAAGTGCAACTTTGGGAATCTTAAAAATCTGACATCTTCAAGAATTTCAAGACAGTAGATAATCGAAAGTGATCCATGGAACATATTAATATTTAAAACACCAGCAATGCACCAGAAGTTTTTAATTAAATTATAACTCATGCTTGAAAAGCAAAAGTGCATGTGTTGTGGGAGTTTAAATAATTCACATTCTGAATATCTAGAGTTTTTGTGAATCCAGAGACAAATGCCATTTGCATGCTTTTAGAATTCCAAAATTAACACTTAAAAATGAATAAGCCTGTCCTAACTCTTCTACAGAAAGGACTGGTGAAATATGAGGTCACACAGCAATTCCTTCACATTTTAAAACCAAATCAGATATTTAAAATCAGGACAATGTGGATACTGGCATGAACTTTTGTGTGGACATAAACTTGAAGCACTCTGTTTAAAATCCTCTTTCGCTTTTGAAGGAAGCTGTATGAGCCGTATTACATGTAGAGTAGTTGAGACGTATTAAGTTCCCTCATTATCCTACATAATTGAACAAGAGATTTCACAACAGGCTGAGTTGCACAGATCCATTAGCAGTAATGAGGTCAGGGAACTTTTCCACACAAGGTTGATGGGTCCTGACACCATCCACTCTGTCACCCAAAAGGCTTAAATTCACCATGGAACATATATTTACAGATACTTAAGAACAAAATAAACTACAATTAGTCTCCTTAGCCCTGGCTTTGTTTTTCTGCAGTTTCAGGGACTCCTGGTCAACTGTATTCTGCAAATGTCAAGTGGAAAGATTCTAGAAGTAATCGATCCATACGTTTTTAAACAAATGTTATTATGTTGTTATAACTGTTGCATTTTATTGTTGTTGCTAAAATTATACTTTTTTAAAATTAAACTTTATCAGTAGGGATGCACGTAGAAGAAAATAGTTTATAGAGGTCTCAGCACTGCCCATAGTTTCAGTCACTGAAGATTTTAGACCAAAAAGAGGGAGTCTTGTGCTCTCAGTGGAACTTCTGAACAAATGTCTGTGGAGCGTACCACCCTTTCAAGGACTCACTAAGTGAGCAAACTGCAAAAATAACAGGAGACATGGCAGAAAGCTGATCAATTATTACAAGGGATAGGAACGAGGTGAAGGACGAAGGCCAAAGAGTTATATTCAGATAAATCATGGTTAATTTCTTTTTAAAAGTAGATTTTATATAAAAATAACAACCAGATTTATGAAATATGGAGGTACAAGTGATCTCAACCCATGGTGACCTGTCTGTTTAAAATTCTTTTCCTTAAAGTTTCAAGTGCAGTAAAATATAGAGAGCTCAGAGTGGCTGTTACCCAGTGTTGGGGACTGAGGTCTTGGAGAATGGAAGCTTCGGGTGGCAGTCTAGCGGTATCGTGACTGATCCAGACAGGCCAAGTTCAAATATGGCGCCATGGGTGACATTAGTCATTTCCTACTCTACTGTGTTTGGGAGCAGAGGTCTGAAGGTCTTGTAAATTTAATGTAAATTAACTCCTGTAATTCCTTAGAAAGACTAACTCATGGTCCAACAACATGAATACCAGGAGACTGGCACTTCAAAGGTATGTGGGAATGTCAAGGAGAGGGAAGTAGATAAATAAAGGGAGGAAGATGGGTGAATGCAGTCATAATATTCACTGAATATCCTATGAAATTAGGAAAATTGAGGGGAGGGGCTGAGTTGGGAGGAATGAAATAGTGAAACTGATCAAGATGACAACCATAGTGACATGGATCACTGCACTTATGGTAGCTCCTTTGTACAACTACTTAAAGATAACAAAATATAATTTTAAAAAATAATGGAGTATATACCAAAGTATGGAAATATACTTGTCATTCAGTTCTATTTTGATATACAATGTTAAAGGCACATAAGTTAACTATAAAATAAACTATGGAATGTATGTTCAGAATTCCCAAAGGAAAAGTGACTTTCTCTCTACTATCTCAGCCCTCTCTGACAAAACAATGAAGTATCAACAAAGTATAATTTAAAGGACAAACCATTTTAAAACCAACACAAATATCGAAACATCAACCAACTTTATGAGCAGTAATTTGGTACTCAAGAAACAGAATCCTCCTAAGCAGAATGTTTTTCTTCTAAACATATTCATGGGTGGATTTCAGTGGAGGAAACAACTGGGAAATTGGGCAGTGGATAGATCCATAGGAGAAACAAAACCCTTGGAGGAAAAATGGTGACAATTTTAGTCTTGCTATGTTATCTGTCTGCGTTTCCTAAGTAAGTCATTTCCTATCTTTCCAGGCTCCATAGAGCTTTTCCATGTTCCTCTAAAATTAAGTTCACAAAGCAGCTGCTTTTGCATTGTATAGCTAGAAAAGTGTTAAAATGTTCCATAAACAAAACCGAGCGAGGCTGCGTTGACATGTGCTTGCACAATAAACTTACATTTCAGTAACTTACACATCCTCCATGTGTCAAAACTCACATCACTAGAAAATTCTCCAAACTCTTTGGCCCCATTGAAGATTTTCATAACTTTACTGGAAATAACACTGCTAGAGATAGACTAGAACAATACCATACTCTCAATAGAACTTGAAATGTATGTCTTCTCTTTTGAGAAAGAACACAAATCAAAATGAGGGGGGACAAGGTATTTTCCCCTCAGAACCTGTATCAACTCATTTGTCCTCCTGGTTCAGAGACACTGTGGTATTACAAATTAAGAGACAAATTCTCCTTGTTTGTTTTTCCCTACAGAAAAGGAAAAGAAATTGCCCATAGGAAGAAGCTTTTTATTTTTATTGTCTAATCCTCAACATTTTGCTTTTCTTTATTTTAAACTAAGTAGCTGGAAAGGTTAAAGGAAAACTTAAATTTGATTTTGAACTTCTCATAAGCTGAGTGACATATCAATTACTATAGAACTTCCAAGTAGAGACCTGTAAAAATGACATATCTTAGATGAAGAATGTCACTGCACCAAGGTATCTGTTAAGCATATTATCTATCATTTCAGTTTTCTTGATTTTTTTTTGTCAAGGTATTTCCTTGCTTTTTCTTTCTACTCTGTCTTTACATTTACAAATTGATTTTTGAGTGAGAATATATGACAGATAATTTATCATGTTAAGCCTGAATTTTTATGATGTATTTCTCTTCAAGGTGGCTTTAGATTCTTTCTTCAATTTTCATCCCCTATTGCATAGAATCTGGTATTTTCAGAGCATTTGGGCTCTGCTTAATTGATACTCTGTTGAAAGGATATTGCTAGAGATGAAGTCAGATACAATTTATAGAACACAGGTGTTTAAAATGTTTGATTAAATACTGGTTAGATCTGAAGTGATATTAGGTTGCTTATAAAGAGATACATGAACAATAAATATCCATCATCCACTTAGCTTTTGGGAAATTCTTCCCCACTACTGCTTCATTTCATTCTCATGACAGACTACAAATATCATCCAGGTGAATATGAAGGCATGGAGCCCAGACAACATGCTTAGCATGCTACCATGCCAGTCAGGTGGCTGTATAGGAATGTGTCCTCTGTTTCCAGGGAACCATAGCAGAAGGTCAAGGCCCAGATTGGAGCTGGTGTGTCTGACCTAGAATCCTGACTCCACTCTTTAGCTGGATCTTTGATGAATTACTGTGCCTCATCTCTAAAAAGGATGTAAAAATAAGCATATTGAGGATTAATTAATATGAAATGCCTAACATGGTAGATGATCTCTAGGGATCAGGCCAGAGACCCTTAGAAGAGGAGCCAGGCTAACAGGTGGTTGTGATTATTAATCCTAAGAGGAGAATACAGGAGAGGGGTAAGTAGATGCAAGCAAAGCACCTTAAATGGGGGGAAAGCCAGTAGAGTTCATTGGTATCTAGAATACTTTTTTCAAAGAATTTTTGTTTTGGTAGTTTTGTACTAAAATTTGAACTCAGAGCCTCACGGTTCCTAGGAAAGTCTTCTTCCACTTGTGGCATGCCTCCAGCCCTAGAGTGCTTAAAAACAAACGGCCTGTGCTACTTTTTGACTAACTTTATTACTTTATAATTTACGGAATACTTTGCTGTGTAACACACAAAGGATGAGCCATCTAATAATTCATTGGGGTTTTTTTCTAGATAAATATTCTTTAATTACATAAATTATATAACCCTATACATTAAAAAATGAATAATTTAGGCATGGCCATTTTTGTTCATGTGTTTTAAGCCAACCAAACATTTATTATTAATAAGGATATATTCAAGGTCCACTAAGAGAACAATTATGTGCTCCAAGTGATTACGTGGAATTATTTTCAGAACCAACAAAGTAAGTATGGATTCATACTGATGCTGTACGCAGTTTTAAACTGTAGTGATGAGAGAAAGACAAGTAGACTGGATTATGCATCTATAAGACATAGCATAACCCTTATTGCTCACAGAATGCTCATGCAGTCATTACTTTTCTCACTCATTCTACACATTTATTGTGGAGTCTTGGAATGCAACAGAACAAACTATACATGGTTCCTGTACTCATGAACTAGTTCATGAGTTTAAGGGGGGAGGATGGAACTTAAAAAGCCTACTAAATAAAATGTGTATTTCAAGAAGGACAAAGAGAGGCATCAGATAAAGTGTGATAAAAGAAAATGGGAAAATATTAGAGTTCAAAGGAGACCTGAATTAAAGGATTAAGCGAGTAGGGAGGGAGCAGGAAGGTGACTAGAAAGACCTGAAAAGAAGGGAGAAGTCCAGAAAAGCCAGGGAAGCCTGGGGGAGGACACAGGGGAGGAGCCTGTGGGAGGAGGGGGGGGAGGGAGGAGCCTGCGGGAGGACACAGGGGAGGAGCCTACGGAGGACACGGGGGAGGAGCCTGCGGAGGACACGGGGGGAGGAGCCTGCGGGAGGACACGGGGGAGGAGCCTGCGGGAGGACACGGGGGGGAGGAGCCTGCGGGAGGACACGGGGGAGGAGCCTGCGGGAGGACATGGAGGAGGAGCCTGCGGGAGGACACGGGGGAGGAGCCTGCGGGAGGACATGCTGGGTTTGAGCAGTAGGCTGAGGATGTGGCATTGTTCAGAATCTCTGTCATGTCATCAGCACTGTAGAGAAAGTTTTTTCCAAGTATCATTTTATATTTAATTACAGGTATTCTTTATTTTTACATCTTCCCATCCATGCTATAGTTAGCCTTTTTATGGATAAAATGAGGTTTTTAAAGCCCGTCTGTGTACTGGAGAGTGTGCTGGTTTGTCCAGACCTAGGTTGAGGAAGGGGCTAGTTCTCTCAGGGGCTGAAGTGTTTGCTCTGTCTCAGTGAGTTCATCTTTGTCACAGTCCTTCCTGGGGTGGAAGAGAGGTGAGCCTCTAACGACTGGGGAGACTGGAAGCTCCCTTTTCAGGGGTGTTTCCAGCTCAGATGTGGCTGGCGGAGGCCTTGCTGGGAAAGCATCGAGCACATCTATTTCTTTCATGCTGCGGAAGGCCATGCTCCCGGGCACTTCCTGTCCACCGTCCAGGGGCCCGGGAGGAAGACCCCCACATCTTACACACAGGTGATTTTTGCAGTTGCTCCCTCTTCGGTATTTGCAGGTGACCTGAGGATGGTGACAGTTACAGCACACTTACCTGAGTCACACTCCAGGCTAAGAACTTTATATTCATGCATATTTCCTTCAGTTCTCATGACAAAACTCTAAGTGAGGTGCTGTTATCATATTTAATCAATTATGAACTTGGAGCGAGGGAGAGTTAAGTGCCCAAGAACATACAGCAAACAAAAGGTGGATTTTAGCTTCGAATCTAGTTGCTCTTAAAGTCTGTGTTCTTATAATACACTGTTTCCCAGTATATTAATTATTTCAGTAACACATTATATTATGTCCTCCGGTTCTATGGTTTCCTAAAAACCAACAAACTACCCAAAATACTTGTTTTTCATGTATATGTTTACAATTACATCACATGCTTACTAGTAATGTGTTAAAATAATTTCAAATACACAAACTTTTGCTATTAATCCTCTTAAAGACAAATCAGAAAAAAAACTAACTCTAAATATTCAAGATCGAATTGTAAGAGTCTGGGAGGTTCTTATAGAAAACAATCTGCAAAGCAGATTAACCTGACTTTGAAAAGTTAAACAAAGCATCCTGTGATAAACAAAACTTTCTATTTTTATTTAGCTGTTTCCTCCTTGTGAATATCCTTTATCTCAATTTCTTGACATGGTATAAAACTTCACAATTTCATCTTTAGAGAAAGGCCAGAGATAAGGGGTGGGGCTTAAGCAGTAGAGCAATTGCCTATCAAGTGCAAAAGCCCTGAGTTCAAACCCCAGTACCATGAAGGAAAGGTAACAAGCTACACTATTACTACTATTACTACTACTACTACTACTAACTTAAAAGAAAGATCAGGTAGAATGGAGACTTTACCTGTCCAATGATGAGAGGAACCACAACAGTCATAAAAAGCTGAGAGAAAATAGATGTAAAAGGCACAGAAGAGGATGAACCAAGCTGTAAAACCAGAAAGCAAGAATTAGAATGACCATGAATCAGCAGTCAAATCTTGGTCTTCATGAAATAATGCAGTAAATAAATTCGATTTCTACAGATTTCTCTCACATGCACCAAAAAACTGATAGCTATCAATGAAAAGGAGTAAAGCTGCCTGAAATTTTCTAAATTTAACATAGACTAGTCAGTATCTTAACACACAGTTTTTACTCAGAGATTAGAGTCAAGGAAAAACGCTAGTTACTGATGGACAATTAAATTACTTACTACTGAATATATTTTTCTTTTTTTTGCTGGTCCTGGGGTTTGAACTCAAGGCCCGGGCACTGTCCATGAGCTTCTTTCACTCAGGGCTAGTGCTCTACCACTTTGAGCCACAGGTCCACTTCCAGTTTTTTGGTGATTAATTGAAAATAAAAGTCTCACAAACTTTCTTGCCCAGGCTGGCTTCAAACTTTGATCCTCAGGAGTAGCTAGGATTACAGGCGTGATCCACCAGTGCCACCATGAGCAATGAATACATTGCTGAATAGGAAAGTCATTCTGGGTCTGCACTAATGTATAGCATATTTACCCACAAATGTAACTTGTGTAATTTTTACTTAATCTCTTTACAAACATGTAAGCATTATCTATCAGGATAATATCTTTATTTAGCCTAAAATAGTTTCCGACTTTCACATTCCCTCAAGTCAAAGATCATTTGTCTTTAGTCTCAGCTTTGCTAGAATTTATTCTTATGTAAGGTCCGGTAGAAGAGAGATATTAAAACACTTTGGTTTTCAACTTAAAATTTCAATACGCCCTTGAAAGGTTCAGAATCCCGCATTTTTCTCCTTCATTCTTTTTTTTTCATTCTTTCATGCTAATAGTTACAACTTGAGTCCCACAAAAATCACTAAGTTCTTTCCATGAATTTTGTTTTTCTAGCTGTGGTGGCTTATGCCTATCGTATTAGCTCCTCAGGAAGGTGGCAGAGAGCTAGAGAATGGAGATTCAAAGACAGCCCTGGCAGAAACTTCCGAGACTCCGTCTCTAAGCTAACCAGCAAGCAGCTAGTGGGGGCATGGCTTAAGACGTAGAGCATCAGCTGAGAAAACACAAAGCCTTGTGTTCAAACCATGGGTTAACACCAAACCTCCTTCTGTTTGTCCAAGATCCTTGTACAAACAAAAGCCTGATCCAGAGATTCTCATTTCTTTCTTGAGTTCAGTTAAACTCAGAAATAGCTTTTAGAAAGTAATTTTGTGTATGGACACTAATGTGGCAATGGTGCAAGATGACTAATAATACAAAGCAGATATTTGGATAAATGAAGTTGAGGGCTGAGAATAAAATTTTACAGTATCAGTATTTTTACTGATTTTTGATTATTTTTCTTTGGTACGGGATCTCACTGTGAAGCACAATCTGAGCTGGAACTCTCGTTGTTCAGGCTGGCTTCAAACCCTTGATCCTCCTGCTCCCGTCTCTGGGTGCTGAGATTCTAGGCATGTGTCACCATTCTGGTTTTGATTTCCCATTCTGCATGAATGCTTTGCTGAAATTTTTTCTCCAACCTGGTGCACTGTATAAAGTTCTTTCCCTCGGCTCAGGCCCAATTTGAGCACACTCAAGATGACAGCAATGTGCGCATCGCTCCATCAACGATCCCGCACTCGACACTAGCTATCCACCTCTCCCCATGCAGCCTCCCTTCCTCTACAACCAACATAAAGAAGTGAAGAGAGTCAGCAGAAAAAAAGTGAAACTGCACTAGAGTCTGCAGGAGTCTTGGTGTGTTCAAATGTTCCATGGTTGTCCGGTCTTTTTTTTTTAATGCAAAAACTAAGGACTGAAAGCTTCTAACTACATCCCACTGGGTAGCCAAGTATGCCACTGAAGCACAATGTACTTAACAAATACATTTTATGTATAAATATGAACCCTAAATGTGTTCTTGGGCAAGGATGGAAGAATAGATTTTTAAGAGAAATCAAGGTGCCGAAAGAATAGAAAATTAAACTTTCAAGAATACAGTTTCCAAGTTCATAATTATCCACTCAAAGTTCTCTGCCCATGATTTACCATGCTCAAGAGAGAAGAAGCAGGATTCATAGCCGTCATCTTCATATAAAAGGTGACCATTCCTATTTAGAATCTCAGGACTGGGCTCAGACATCTCTGGTTCTCCATTCTATCTCAATTTTATTTGTACTGAAACATTAATTTCTCCATCCGTCAAACAGCAGACTACTGGTGCTCACCGTCTGACAAGGAGACAGTGGAACAAGCGATGGTTGAGGTGGACCTTGTCCAGGATCCCCAAGGTCCTTTTGTTGTCGAGAACACCTGATTGGAAACCCGGTTAGGGCGACCCTCCTCTGAGGCACCATCAGAGATGACAAGCTAGCCAAGGGTGGCACTCACTCGGTACCCAGTGCCAGAGGAGGGTGGCAGGGATGAAAGTCTGCTCCCTTGCAGGTGGCTCTGAAAGGAAGGACAGGAATGCAATTGGGCTCAAGTCCTTGCTTTTGAAGTGGCTGCCAGCCTCTCACTGTGGTCAGGGGATGCACAGGTGCCCACAGGGGCATTTCTGATGCTGTGAAGTGTGCGCTGGCAATCGGAAGACAGCAGGGTGAGCACTGGACATAGGGCCAGCACAGGAGAACAGGACTCAACCCTTTTGTCCACAAACTTCATCTTAACCAACACAGAAGACGATGCATTGCTGGGGATGTTTGCCTCTTCCTATTTTTATTTTTTTTGGCCGGTTGTGGGGCTTGAACTCTGGGCCTGGGCGCTGTCCATCAGCTCTTCAGCTCAAGGCAAGTGCACCGACACTTGAGCCACAGCGGCACTTCTGGTTTTCTGGTGGTTTAATGGAAATAAGAGTCTCATGGACTTTCCTGCCCAGGCTGGCTTTGAACCGTGATCCTCAGATCTCAGCCCCCTTAGTAGCTAGGATTACAGATGTGAGCCACCAGCGCCTGGCCTGCCTCTTCCTACTTTAATGAGAAATCTGTTGCAGTTAGAAGATGCTTAAAAGACGCATCAGTAATTTGGAAGTAAGTTTGCAGGTTCTGGATCAGCTTAAACCGAGCAATTCCCTGGGCTTCACTTGCACTCCCCCGCAGATTCAGAGCTAATTCGTCTCGCGTGCCAAGCCATGCTTTAACCTATAGTATGCTAAGCAAACACTAGTCATAGGATAATTTCTCTCAGGAAAGAATGCTTTATTATTTATGTACTTATTAACTCATTAATTTTTTATTTGGGGGGCAGTACTAAAGTGAAGACTCAGGGCCCTTCACTTGCTGAGCCACGCCCCTATTTTGAGATAGTCTCGTTTCCTTTTGAGTGTGTACCTGGATGAAAAGCCACTTATTCTAGCTTCTCACTGTAGATAATAGGGGTACACCACCACACCTGGCTTCTTTGCATTAAGATGGAGACTTTGAGAAAAGTCTTGTGAACTTTTCTGTCTGGGCTGGCCTGCATGAACTCTTGTTCGACAAAAAGTCCTGCATGTTTTCCTGGGCCAGTCTGAACCATAATCCTTTTGCTCTCACTCTTCTGAGTAGGTAAGATTACAAGTGTGAGCAACCAGCTTAGAAATATGGCTTAAAAAGTGTAAAACTCACAAGTAGTTTGGCTTGTTGGGTTTCATATGTGCAGAAAGCAATGCTTCACAGGAGAGATTTTAGCTTCTCCTGTGTTCAGTCATTTAAATAGTGGCTGAGTATAATTTACCCTGAAAGCCAGGGTAAATTCTAGGTGCCGTGGATGTGTAACCATGGACAAAACATGAGGCGTCTTCTCTTGAGGGCTGCTTTTCTAAAGTAGAGGTCTGCATGCCTGCCAGAGAGCACTCGAGTACTTGTCTTTGGAGAGTCATGTCCTACCAGAAAAGCTCTAGTCTTTTGCCAAGTCTCAATTTAAGAATGATGGCTTTAGGAATTCTTTCCAAAAGGCTGGTTGGCCACCTCCTCTTCTGTGAGCCGCCGTTCTCTATGTGTCTGATGCACTTCTCCCAATCTTGTTCTTGTTCACAAATCCGTTCTTGTTCGCAAACACCTGTTCTTGTTCACAAATCTGTCTCTCAGGGGGACACTAGATGCTCCTGAAGATCAGAACATACTCTTGTTCATATTTCACATCTGTGGTACAGGTTCTCAAACCCCAACCCATCAGACACATCTGGATGGCTCAGGAAAACAGACCGTTCCAGCATTGGTAGTTCAGAGAGACTGGGAGAGTGATGGAGATGACAGAATTTGTGTTTCTAACAAGTTTCCCGGTGACACTGCTGCTGCCGCTTCCCTGAAGTTCACAGTGGGAGAGGCAGGGACTGAGCGTGTGGTAGATGTGCAGAGTCAATCAGTGAATGACTAGGTAGTAAAGAAAGCTGGAGTTATTTTCTTTTCATTCTGCCAGTTTTGTTCAGCTAAGTTACAAAGGCCTACTTAATTCGCCGATTCGGAGATCAGCCTAGCCTCTCACCCACTCGTCCCCCACAGTTCCACCAGCCAGGCAGTCCTCTCGGTGCCAAACATGCTGTTATAAGAGCTTCACATGTGCAGTATAGTTGACTCCTGATCACACTCCTCATCGTTGAGGTAGATCTAATTAGTACCCTCATCTCCATACGGCCACACAAGACACAATCTGGACAAGGTTACCATAGCCCAAAACTGAGAGCCAAGATTCACAAAAATTCAATGCCAGTGGCTCACACCTGTCATCTTAGCTACTCAGGAGGCTAATATAGGAGGATCAAGGTTCAAAGCCAGACAGGTAAGAAATGTCCACAAGACTCCACCTTCAAAAACAAATCAAAGAGCTAGGCTGGAGGTAGAGCAGAGGTAGAGTGCCAGCCAAGCAAGCAAGCCAAGCAAGGCTGAGGCCCTGAATTCAAACTCCAGTATGACCAGGAATTAAAAAGGAGAAAAATATAAAAGAAGAGAGCCGTGGTTTGAACCTAGAAGTATAGCTCCACAGCCCTCACAGTTCATCCTACT